CTCGGAGCCCTCGAAGTCCGCCCGCAGCCGGGCACGTGACACCGGCCGGGGACCCGCAGGGCGGGTGGGCCGGGAGCCCCGCGGCGCGTCCGCAGCCTTCCGCGGGAGGAGGGCGCCCCTCTCCGTGGGTGGCCGGCCCAGAGCCTCGGCACACCGCCTCCCCGCCCGGCCGCTCAGCTTGTGCGTACCAGGCGGCTGCTGTGTGTCGCAGCCTTGCCCTTGTTGCCGGGTGACAGGCGGCCACCCGCAGCCGCCGGACGGAATTGGCCGTTGAGGTTAATAAAGGGGTGGAGGGTTTGTACGGCCCCGACAGCGCGACGCTGCGGGCGTCTTGAAACGGCCCTTGACTTCGGAAAAAAGGAAGATGTCCAGGAAAGACGAAAACATGTTCTACAGCTATTGCTTCATTCTCTTTTTTTGTTTTTCTGAAAGCCGGATTTATTGAGGGGACACAAAAAGCGCCCAGGGCGGGAGGGGACCCGGGGGGGGGTCACCCCATTCTCTTTTTGAAGTGATCGAACGCACAACTTGAGTACTGAACTGGCCGAGGAATGTCTCTAGCTGTAAAATGTCCTCTATGATTTAGGCCGTCCCCAGGCAATGGAGTTATAAGGCTTTCCATTTAGATTCAAATGTAGGTTATGACTTATTCTCTCAGTGTCTGCTTCCGCATCTGTAGATCCATGGACCTTCTTGAATTTTATGTGTACAATTTCATGCCTAAGTGCTTTGTCCTGTGGAGAGTGAGTGTCCAGAACTTTAAAGAGTCTAAGGTGCCAGAGATCTGAACGTTTCAAGAACCAGTATTAAAATTTACACAGCCCCTCCCACCCTCAATGGACCGGTAAAAACAGTCATCACTGTTTACTATCCACTGAACCCTTTCTATTTTTTCAAGTCATTTTTCAAATAATTTACAAAACTAAGCATAAAAGGTTAGCAAAAGCCATGTTAGAGATTTTAATAAAATTTTTAGCATAAAAATACAAAATTTTATTCCATATATTCTCCTTTTGAAGTTGTATATAACCCTAATTGGACAAAGTCCTTTGAATGCAACGGAATGTTTAACTGTTAAGCATAAACCTGGAATGCATGCATCATTTAAATACTGATTCCAGATTTCAAGTGCACTTCTAATAAATTCTGGTGTATTACTACCAGTTCTTTTTGCCCTTGATTGTCAAAACACTATATTTTGAAAACTACGAAGTCATGTATTTTGCTAAAGAGAAGAATACCTTCTTTGCTTTATAATTACAAAACGTTTTCATCTTTGATTTATAAACACCAATTAGAACGATTGGTTCAATGAATATTATTCATTTCCACAACATCTATTTCTTTTCAGTCACCTTTTAATACACACCAGCCATCAAGACATGCTTCTTTATAAACCTTGGCATGTTTATGCGCAAGTAAACGTTGGCGCATAAACATGAAAAAGGAAAGATACTTTCCTTATCCTTTTAGCAAAACAGTATCATACAGGTTATTGTCACAGTTTATTTCAGGACAAAATATTTCCTGTTGAAAGACTAACTAGATGAGAATACCATATATCCTTTTTATCCTTAGAAAGACAATGCTCCTCAGTGCATTGATGCTTAAGTTAGAGAAAATTTATCAAGGAGATTTAAGATATGATCTCTCGCTGAGATTTTGTTTATCCAATCAAGTTCACAGTCATCACTAGCACCTAACATGCAGCCGTCTGTCCCTCTCTGTTTCATTTTGTCCCTCTTCTGATTTGTTCAATAATTGTGTAATTTTTTTCTCTGTCAGTTTCCTTCTCCTTGCCATTATGGGCAAAAAACTGAAAAATTCTGACATCTCAGCTATGTTCAATAAAAGCCCAAAACAGACAACCGTGAATTTGCTTCTGGACTCCTTCTATATCTTCTTGAAGGATGATGGAATACTTGAGGCAAAGCTGTAAGAAAACAGAGGATGTTGTAATAGCCATGATTTATTTCACAATTACATCATCTTTCTAGGCAATTCCAATCATTCTTCCATTTTTAGATTTTAGTCATTTTTAAAAACATAGTTGGAATAATTGATGAGTGTGATAAAATAATGCCATCATTATGGTTGATGAAATAACAAAATGATTCAAGATAAAGGAAAATTATTAAGATGTTAGATGTATACCCTTATATCTTGTATACCCTTTTATATATGTTTTAAATCTTATACCTTTTATAGAGATTTACCCTTAGATTTATAAAAGGGCCCAAGAAACTTACATAATAATTGCAAAATAGAATGAGTTTTATTCTAGAAAATAAATTTTGTCTTATAAAATATAACTATGTTTTCTCTCTTTGCTTTGGAAGACCTCTAAGAAAGAACAAAAGTCATGAAATATCAACTTAACAAATTAACTCTCCAGAAAGAAGCTCAAAAATTAAAATTGTGCCCTGATGATATATACCAAAAGTTACAGTGTGCGGTCCAGAATTGAAGAGAACATTTCAGGATCTGGCCACAACAAAAAGAGCAAAATCGTTATCTGCATTTTTGTGGATGCCAGGCTTTTATCAGAGCTGTCCAAGACCCAGTAAATTTTTAGAGAAACCTCATCACATTCCTGGTTCCCACTGAACTCACTATTGAACTCTACATTCACCTTTAATTGTCCTTGTATCAAATTAAGACAGCCTATACAATATTTTTGGACAGTTGCCTTTTCAGCTGTATGTGTAGGACTTTTTATTCCTCTAAGGTTTCATTTTGTTAGATTTACCTATTATTCTACCCTGTCATTTTTAGATCCAGATATATCATCGAAACATATTTTCTCTCCTTCCTACATTTGCAGAATCCTGGATTCAGTCAGCATGATATCAGTGTCTTTTTCCAGGTCATTAATAAAAATGTGGTACGGGACAGAGCCCTAGACACATCACTTCTACTATGTTGATACCAACCTCTTAATTAGCATGAGTAGATCTTAGCCTTTAACCAGTTATATATAGTGAGTTAAAACTTTACTGACATTCAGACTGTTTTTCCTTACTACTAGGGCATATAATGGGAAATTTTGACAAATGTCATATTGAAATCCAGATATATATAATTACTCTGACTCACCATTGTAGAATTCTCATTAAAAAAAAAAAGTCAATTGAATGACCCAGTGGCACTCAATATATCATTAAAAACATTACAATACAACATTAAAGCTGTAAGGGACTTTGGAGACTATCTTATTTAATCTCCTAAAGAAAACTCTGTTTAGTAGAAATTGAGTAATTTTCCCAAAGTAATATAGGTAGTGAATAGTAGAGCAGATCTACTAATGGTTTTTTTTAAAAAAAAGCTTGTATATAGAGGCAGTCCAGTGCTCATTCTCTTATCCATGCTTTCTGTGTTCAGGATTTGGCTTTAAATTTATATCTCATAATGTGCCAGCAGAAAGTATCTAAGCATTCCACCATTCAAAATCGATGATCATATTAGCCTGAATCATTTATTTAACAAAGTCAATACTGATTATATGCATCAGGTGCTTGCTGGTATTCAGGGTACTGTATCTGGTGCTTGCAAGTGCAGAATAGAAGTGCTCATAAAACTATTGAGGTTTACAGTAATCAAAGTAGGAAAAAAATTTACCATTATAAGAAATTAATAAGTACAAAATAAGCTTAATTGGGTAATTATGATGTCTTAAGCATGCTTATAGTACTAAACAATTTATGGGGTGCTTTCACACACGTTATCTTATTTAATTCTTGCAATAATCAAATAAGATGGGTTCTCCTTTCCAAATTTTACAGAAGGGTTAACTAAGCCTGACAGCCTTTAATTAGTCTGCTCAAACTTGAAGGGCTGATCAGTGGGAGAAGCGACTCTTTTGACCCTATTTTGATGTGCTTTCCCGTGTGATTTGTTGCCCCCGGATACAATGCATTCTAAAAGTCAACATCCAATACCTCATCTTATACTTTTTATCGATATTTTAGTTCTAATGCGAGCTACGAAGAATTGGTTATGTACCAATTCTAGTGGTATTGTAGTGTACCAATAGCTAGTGGAATTCTATGCCAAACTTCAGAATGGTTGGAAAAAGAGAAACATATGACTTAAAGCCAAGAATATTTAACTTCTCAGTGATTATCCTGCTAAATAAAGTGTTGAAATAAGTTTTTAGAAATATTTAAATTTACACTCAACTTAGGAAATGAGTAAAACCAATCCCTAACTTTTATAATTTTAATGAACACTTGGTATAAAGACTCTTTTTAAATGGAAATTATACATTCAATTTGGGGAAATAGAGAATAGAAAAAATTGGTCCTTATAACTGGTAGACCTTTTTGTGTTTCTCTGACCTTCTATGGAATTTTAACTCACTTTATATTTACTGATGAAAAAAAGTTCTAAGTTATATACAAGGTTTAAATATAAACCTTCTTTGCAGTTTATTTCCTCATTAATGCCCTTCTTTAAAGATATGAGATTCTTGATTTAAACAATAACAGAAGATGTACTAGGAATGGCATTGTTTTTCTTGTTTAAATAGAAAACTTAAAAAAATACCCGCCGCCTATATGAAAACACTCATATCGTCCATTCCTGAGTAAGAGGTTTTCCACTTAGGAAAGTTTTCATATAATTAAATGACGTATCTTTACTCTTTTTGTTTAGCTTCAAATGGGACAATAGTCAAAGAAGTGGAATTCGGAATGTGCACTGTGACGTGCGGTAAGTGACAAAAGGCCAATGTGAGTACACCGTTCTGTAATGTGGAGGGGGGAGGGGCAGGAAAGGTTAAAAACAATGTGGCAATTTTTAATTTGTCATTCGTGTACTTCACTCATCTCTCCCTGATTTGTGCTTCTAATAACTAATTTATATGCAAAACATAGGCTGATTGCTTTACACGGTAAGATAGTTTCAGTTGATAACCTTGAAGTCTTGTGTTAAGCCAGCCACTTCTCTTCTTTCACACATAGACTGCCTTCACCAAAGTAAAATTTCCTCAGTCTCACAGATGTTCAGAAGATGAAAGACTTTCCAGTGCATCTCACAGATGTCTTCCCACATACCGTGTTGGCAAATTTATGAAGAATTTGCTTATTTATAACATAGTCCATTCTAAAGTCGACATTTCTCCAGTTTGTATGGCATGTCTTGGGGAAAAGAGGTTTTGGCTTTGTGTGGAAGATGATGCTCAAAGAAATGACTGACTTTGATCGTTCCAGGTGTAGAAATGGGATATAAGATCTCTCTAACAGGTTTACAATGAAGCTGATGCTGCTAGTTAGAGGACTGTCTTTTGAGAACCAAACGCTGTAGGCCAGGGTGCTGAAAGACAGCAGATAAAACACAGTGCAATTGAGTTTATTCTAAATGAAAACTGCCTTGGAAAAAGCACAGTGCTGAAAGGGGCAACAGCCAGAGGGAAAGAAGACAAAATAAATAAATAAATAAATCCATGGAGATCTAGAGGAGAATTAACTTGGAGGAGGGGGCAAAAATTACAAGTGAATCATCTTGTTTGCAATAGCTTGTTAAAAAATTGTGGCAAAATTCACCTGACACAAGACTTATGATTTTTAGTCATTTTAAGTGCACAATTAAGAAACAATTTTTTTGAAAAAAATAATAAATGTACAATTCAGTGGCGTTAAACATACTCATGTTGTGCAGCCATCACCACTGTCCATCTCCAGAACTTTTTCACCATCCCAGACTGAAACCTCACACTCATTAAATACTAACTCCCCACTGCCTTTCCTTCCAGCATCTGACAACCACTATGCTTTCTATCTTTTAAAACAGTTTTAAACCTGCTATTTACCTTACTTTTTTAGTGAGCCAGTTATAAAGTGAGAGGAATCCATGTAGTAAGCCTGGGATTATTCGTTTTTAGTTTACGTCTTTCTTTTGCTGCTTACTTGAGAAATGCTTACAGGTAGAGAATTATTTTCACAACAGTTCCAGTAATTGGTATTGCTTACTATTATTTAAAGACATGTCTTAGAAATTGTAGGATTTATTTAGTCAGCAAATGACTTTATCTTATTTTTAAGTTTTTTGCCTGTTGTGTGCCAGTCATTGTAATAGGTGCTGGGAATTATGAGCCGACAAAGCAGACAAAACTCTTTGCCTTCAAGGAATGTTTATTTTAGGAAGGGCAGACACATAATATAATGTGTTATGTAAGCATGTAACTGACAAATGGTAATAAGTTATAAGGAAATATAAGCTGGAAGCCGGGCTCGGTGGCTCAGCCTGTAATCCTGCGCCTTTGGGAGGCTGAGGTGAGTGGATTGCCTGAGCCTGTGGGTTCGAGACCCGCCTGGGCAGTGAGACCTCATCTCTACAATAAATCAAAAAATCAGCCGGGCGTGGTAGCGTGCACCTGTAATTCCGGCTACTCGGAATGATCACCGGAGCCCAGCAGGTCGAGCCCACTACACTCCAGTCTGGGCGACAGAGTGAGACTCCAACTCAAAAAAAAAAAAAAAGGAAATATAAGCTGGAAAAAGCAATGTTTTATATATAAAATATTAAAGATCTTTCCATTTATAACAACTATTTAGAAGAGAAAAATGCCTTGGTAAAAGTTCTGTTTAACTTCTAAAACAATATTTTAGCAGTCAAAAGTTTTCTTTTGTATCTAGGCAGATTTTTAGGTGTTAGTCTTACAGAAAATCTCACACCTACACACACCTCAATTAACTGTATTTAGCTAAATAAATAAAATACCAACCTGCTTTGAAAATATTTATGCATTTCAGAATAAAGCTGTGCTTCTAAAAAGCCTTCCATAAATTCAAGTGGAACTATACTACAGCCATTTTCACCCATCTCTTAATCAGAGACTTTATGCCGTCCATCCTTCCTTCTCCTTGTCTCATTTGGAGTCTTCTCCCTTGCTACCCAAAGTGTGGACCAAAAGCTGGCTGCATCAGTATCTCCTCTTAGAAAAGCAGAATCTCAAACCCACTTAAGACCAAATAGATTAAAATTTGCCTGCTAGTAAAACCTCCGGGTGATTTCTAGGTACTCTCAAGTCTGAAAAACCCTGTTACAAGCCACCTCTAGTCTTCAGCTTTCCTTTGCTCTTGAAAATGGGTTTTATGAGTAGCATCTTGTAGGTGTTGAAAGAGGGAATCTAGTAGACAAGGCAACCAAGATGAACTTTTTCTTACCTGGTCTCATCGCGGGACGTTTCTTCATCTCCCTCAATTCTGGTGATGGGAGGCAAACTCAGTAGTCTGGGATCAGTTAGTAAAGACCTAGTTTCTTGTTGCAAAAGGTATGACAATCTAAAGAGAGTATCTTATTGGAAATGGAGATTTGGTCATTAATAAGTTGTCCTGTCTATATTTAATACAGAGTCTTTACCAATCTAAATATTTTAAAATATCATTTATGCTAAAATGTGATTTTGGACTTAGCTCCAGAAACTCTACTTCTCTCTCCCCAAAAAGTTTCATTATCAAATAAATTTGGGAAATCCTGTGTAATTTAATCAAATTATAATTACATCTGCATTTAATCAAATCTATGACTTTATTGGATGTAAGAAGCACATTTTATGTACTCTAAGAAGGAAAAATGCTGCCAATTAATTTGTATCATCAATTGTAAATGTATTCTGATTTCAAGGATGTTCAAATTTAGAAATTTCACATCTTAAACCAATGAAAATCTACACAGAATAGCACATTAATTTGCTAGCATATTAGAAGTTCTTAAAAAAAATTCTGTAGTCAGGAGGTTGCTTTAATTTTATTGAATGTACCATTTTCACATGTATGATCATAGAATCCTTTTTATTATGGTAATAACTAGAGAAACTAGTGTTTCATGTAACCCACTTCAGAAAATGCTGTTTTATGAAATAATTCAGAATGAGGGGCCCCAAATTTTTTCATGTTATTATCCTGAATTTGGGCATTTAATTTCTGAAATTAGGATACAAGTTTTCAAAAAAGACTAGGTAAGAAAGTAAAGACACTCTGGAATTAGTTTTTTCTTAACATTTACCTTTTCTTTTTTTTTAAAAAAAACCCACAGGTGTTGGCATTAGAGAAGTTCTCTTAACAAATGGATGCCCTGGGGGTGAATCCAAGTGTGTTGTGCGGGTTGAAGAGTGCCGTGGACCCGTGGACTGTGGCTGTGAGTTGGACTGTGTGCTGGAGAAGGTCTCAGGGGAAGAGTTTGCTCTGGGGAAATATCTTTCACCTCAGGTGCCACTGAGTGTTAGGAGGCAATCGACTGATACCGTGAAAGGAAGTCATCCTAAAATTTTAAATCCCACTTCTTCTCTAGACAATTATAGTTCTGAGTCACTTCCTGATCTTGCTTTATATTCTTCAAAGATGTCTAAAATTTAACATATATTCTCTGTAATACACTGGAGCCTTATTGTACTCAGGGTCTGGGGTTGAAGCTGTCCTGTAGTGCAGGGGTCCCATCCCAGGCTGTGAACGGGAACCATTCTGTGGTCTGTTAGACTGGGCTGCACAGCAGGAGGTGAGTGGCCAGGAAGCGGATCTCCACATTCCGTCAGATCAGCTGCAGCCTTAGATTCTCATAGGAGCGTGAACCCTACTGTGAACTGCACACGCAAGGGATCTAGGTTGCACTCCTTTATGAGACTCTAATGCCTGTTGAATGCCCACCCTCATCCATGGAAAAATCGCCTTCCATGAAACCAGAAAGGGTTGGGGTCAGTTGCTGTAGTGAAATGCTTTTGTCATGGCATCTTATCAGTAGATTTATAAACCTTTAATTGGAAACTTTGAAATCTGTTTTGTGTCAAATCACAGTGTTCTGGCATTTCAATATCTCTAATGGGGATCCCTTGCCACGAAGCTGGAAACCATGAGTAGATTTAATGTGTCACGAATGTGGTTGTCCTTGCCTCTTGCCCAAAACTCATTCTGCATGAGGAGCAGACAGCCATGGTGTCCCCTCACCTGCTTCTTTCGGTGATGTTATCTTTGCATCCACTACTCCTCTGCCCCTCCACTGAAACTCCCAGTTATAAGGGTGATAGCTTCCAGCATATAATTGATTTTTAAAAACAAAGGGGAGCTTTTAAAGTATTATTGCGTATAAAGCAACTTATGCTCAAGGGTATTGATGTACTAATTTTTCTGTTTTTCAGGGGGTAAACCAATTTCAGAAACTCTTGAAAGTGTTAGACTGGCATGTGTCCATACGTCTCCTGCAAATCAATTCAAATATATATGGAAACTTCTAAGGCCAGAACAAGTGAGTGTTGAATGTGCATAATCTGATGCTTTCTATTGAGTGGTAAAATTTGTTTATTAGTTGTGATGACTCTCAGAAAATACTCTCTTTAAAAACCAAAATGAAGTTAAGAATTATATTTAACTTTATTATTATTAGAATTTCAAAATTATCATTACCCAATAGAACTAACTCTTTACATATGCTTTGGGGTCAGCTATAATCAGAAACTTTGAAACATTCATTTTTTTGTAAAGCATCCATTTTTTGTAAAAGCATTTTACAAGAACATCCATTTTTTGTAAAACATCCATTTTTTGTAAAGCATTTTATTTTGAAATCAAGGCTTTCATTGACTTATATAAGACTTGTATAATGATAACATGGCTAGCATTAATTAAAGGTTTATTAAGTGCCAGATATACCTTGGGTACAGAACCTCTTTTAATCCATATAGCTACCCTAAGAGGTGAATGCTATCATTATACTCGTTTTAAAAATAGGTAAGGGAGGTGCAGTGAGTAACTTATCCACGGTCACACAGTCAGAAAGTGTTTGGGTTGGGATTTGAAGTCTGGATATGTGACTCAAAATCCATATGCACCGTTAATTACTGAACTATGCTAAGAGAGACAGTCACTCTTCTTTTGTTAAAGGAAGTAAGTTGTTTTCTGATAAATGTACATGAAGGATGTTGATACTTGGTTATCTTTTCCTTTTAAAATAGCAACCCATTGTACTTGCAAATGATTCAGCAATCCTAGAAGTACACAGGGAAACTCACCCTCTGGCTTTCGAGTGTGACACCCTGGATAATAATGAACTAGTGGCAACTATTAGATTCACAATCTATACGACTAGTGGTAAGTGCCCAGCAATATTTTGGTTTGCTTACATCTCAAAATTTAAAAAGCATCAAAAGCACCTGCAGGCTTGTTGAAACACAGATCTCTAGCCCTACTCTCCAGAGTTTCTTACCCATTAGATCTGGGATGGGGCTGGTACAAGAATTTGCATTTCTCACAAGTTCCCAGGTGCTGCTGTTGTTGCTGGTCCTGAGACCACACTTTGAGAACCATTGGTTTATGTCATTTAGGCTTTTCTACAAGATAGTACATGGTTTCTTTTCCACACAGTAGCATCAGATGTGCCTCATTTTGAGAAACTGGTATATTTCTGAAGTATCTCTGAGAACAGTCCTCCAACTTGAATTATATTCTTACTTTTATTTTCATTATACAAGGGGAAATGGATAAATGCCTTCAGAGACCAGCCTTGGCCAGAGCCTACTCCCTGAGGGAAGGGAAAGAATGAAGTCAGGTATAGGAGAATACAGTAGTCTGTGTTTGGACAATACCTCACATTGTCAGAATAAATGCTATACATTTCAGTAGAAAAAACAATGAATAAATGAAGTTCTCATAGATGCTTACAAAAATTTTGGTACAGTAAAATAAATAAAATTAAGAAACATGATATGAGAGCATATCTCTTTAAAAAGTTGCATCTGAAGAAAATGTTTTTTGGTGAAGCAATAATACAGTTCTCAATATGTGCCACAAAATACAAATTTTGTCCTGAACACAATTTTACATATTAGAAACTGTGTTTCCCTTTTGAGGTGGATCTATTTGCACATCTTTTCAATTTAATCTATGATGTCTTTTATACCCAGCTAATGATTTCCTTTTTGTCAGCTGCTCTTAACCATTTTGTTGTTGTCATCTTTTTGTAAGGGGTGTGGGGGATTTGGTTACCACTTCTTTGAGAATCCAGTCAAGGCCTGGGGTTCTTTTCCCAGAAAAATGTCCACATATACAAATGTGCCAGAAGTTGCTTACAATTTTAAGGGAGTTTATGAATTTCTTGAAGCTATTTCTGAATCCCAAGTAAAGAGCTACTACTGTAGTGTAGAGATACCTTACAACATAACACCCTTTATTGACTGAGAATAGATTAGTTTAATGTAATTTTTAAAAATGAACTATTTTAACTTTCTTCCATATGTTGCTTAGGGACTTAATAAAATTTTTCATGGTGAAAGTGAGTAATCTTCCTCCTTTGTTGGGATATCAGGTGTTGTCAAAAGGATGATTTCAATAAAGTTCTAAAAAAGGCAAAGGAGAACCCAAACAGAAGAGAATCAAACTAAAATAATCTCAACTAGCCCTAACTCATGACAAGAAAGGTGTGTGGACTGTTCTTAGTCTTTGCCTCCACTTTCTGGTCCCTCATGAAAAAGTTCAGTGGTCAGTTCCTACCATGATTAGAAGAGAACATGCATTTGCTAGTATGTATGTTAAAGGCTGGAACCAGACCCCAAAATGTCTTTATTGAGACAAAGTTGACAATTCACTCTTGCAGCCTTCCAGAAAGGGTAGCTCTGCCATCTCAGTACATGACAATGGTAAATGACACAGTGATTTTTAGAGCGCTTCAGTATCTATTAGTTTATTTTAAAAATGACAATTGGGTACATGAACCGCAACAGACCTTTTGGCTGTTTAGAAGTAAAACAAATGTTTTGGCCAGAAACGCCCACACAAGATGGTAATAGCTTGAGGCAGTATGTAATTGAAATATTTTTAAGGTAAATAATGTTTAGTTAATAAAAAATTTCCATCCATTCACTTATATATCAGATTTTTCACTCCCTCAATAGTCTTTCATAATTAGGCATTGATATGGGTTAAATTGTGTCCTACACCAAAAAAGAGACTTTGAATTCCTAACCTGCCAAGACTCAGAATGTGACTGCGTTTGGAAACAGAATCATTGCAGACATTATTGGTTAAGATGAAGGTGGACCTTTCATCCCATATGACCGGTGTGTGCATGCCCGGAGGAAGAGAGAAATGCTAATGCTGGGTGAAGACATAGAGACACACAGGGAAGGCAGCTATGTGAAAATGGAGACAGAGAGTGGAGTTATGCTACCACAGGCCAAGGAACGTCTGTGGTTGTCAGAAGCTGGAAGAGGCAAGGAAGGCCCCTCCCCTAGAACCTTCAGAGAGTGTGTGGCCCTGTCAGTGTGTTGTTATCAGTCTCCTAGCCTCCAGAACTGTGAGACAATAATTTTCTGTTGTTTTAAAATTATCCAAATTGGGCTGCTTTGTTATGGTGGCCCTAGGAAACTAATGTATATAAAAACATAGTTTATCTAAAAAGTGAGAGCATAAAAATTCAGCCTGTTTTTCCTTAGAAAGTTTCAATAGGTAATTTAGCCTACTTTTTTTTTTTTATTAGCTATAAAAGTAGTCTAGGTGACCTTTGCAAGAAGAATATTGTGGTACTAAATGAACGTTTTTATACCCCTCACTCTCCACTCTCTCCTGACTAATGTTGCAGGAGTAGATAAATGAATTTTGTGATTTTCCTTCTTAGGTTTTAGTTCTAAAAATGTCTCTTATTTAACTTTTAAAAATCCCACCACTTCTTAAAATCTGAAATTATTTTGAAATAAGAAGACTTAAAATCCAACAATATTGGAGTATGAACATATATATGTCATTTTTCTATCACTCTTGGAACTATTTAGTGAAATTGAATTGACAGCTCTGGAATTACTAGAGACAATAGAAGGTTATTCTCCATGATGTTTAAAGGATAGGAAAAAAAAAAAATCCAGAAAAGTAAGCAGTGGAGATCTCCCATGTAGGAGACTACCTCTGACAGAGTGACACTTACCAACATTAAAATATTAAAATAGCAAACACATAGCTTGTACAAATTATTAAACCTTCGTTTACTTATCTGGATAAGGCAGTGGTTAGATCAGGTGGTCTCTGTGGTTCCTTAACCCCTGGATCTTTTATGATTCTAGAATTTGGGGACCGGGAAGAGCCACAAGAAAGCTGTGTAATTCATAAAGTAATATTTATTGTTAAGTTGACTTTACACCCGTTTACAATGTAGCAATGCTGTAACGCATGTAGTAGATTGGCTTTATCTCTTTAGTAATCTGGTTTGCTGTGGTAGCGCGCACCTGTAGTTCCAGCTACTTGGAAGGCTGAGGCGGAAGGATCGCCGGAGCCCAGCAGGTCGAGGCTGCAGTGGCCGGAAGCGGCCACTGCCCTCCAGTCTGGGCGACAGAGGGAGACTTCAACTCAAAAAAAAAAAAAAAAAATCTGGTTTGCAGAAACAGCAGAAAGATATGAGAGAATGCTTGATTTAAGAGTGGTGTGTGAGTCAGGTGTGGTGGCTCATGCCTGAAGGTGGGGGTAGTATGTGGATAATTACGTGGGAAACAGGCAGCCTCAACTCCTACGTTGGAATGCAGTTGCATGATCACAGCTCGTTGCAGCCTTAACCTCCTGGACTCAGGCAGTCCTTCCACTTCAGCCATCCAAGTAGCTGGGACTGCAGACACATGCCACCACGCCCAGTCAACTTTTTAATTTTCCGTAGATTCAGGGTCTCTCTGTGTTGCCTAGGCTGTTCTTGAATTCCTGAGCTCAAGGAATTCTCTGCCTCGACCTCCCAAAGTGCTGGGATTACAGGTGTGAGCCACCACACCTAGTCAATAGAGCTTTAAGAAGGAAATATAGGAGAATATTTGCTTGAATCAGGAGTAGGCAAAAGTCTCTTAGGCATAACTCAAAGCAATCACCATAAAAGGAAACATTGAATAAATTAGACTTCATCAAAATTCAAAACTTCAGTTCATTAAAATAAATCATTAGGAATCTAGTACAAAACATTCATAAAACATCAAACATTCATAAAAACATCAGTTTAGGAAAAGTTTAACAGTTTCTTAGAAGACTAAGCATACATCTACCCTGTGGTCCAGCAGTTCTACTCTTAGATATTTATCTAAGAAATATTGAAACATACATAAACAAAGTGACTTGTACAAGAATGTTCACAGCAGCTTTATTTATAATAGCCCACAACTGGAACAATCTAGGTGTCCATCAATAGGAGAATGAATAAACAAAATGTAGAATTCTACTCAGTAATAAGAAAAGTCTATAGTTACATACAACACTATGGGTGACGTTCCAAAACATTATTCTGATTTTTTTTTTTTAAAACCTCACATGAGATTACATAGTCTATATTTCCATTCATAGGAAACTCTAGCATAGGCAGAGCTTCTCTATGATGAAAAAGAAAATCAGAATAGAAGTTGCCTGTATAGAGGATGGGCAGGAACTAACTAGGAAGGGGCTGAAGAGAACTTTCTGGGGTATCATAATATTCTATGTCTTGATTGGCATTAGATTACATATGTATTTGCCATTGCCCAAACTAAGCAAATGTCCATTTAAGATCTTCATGCAATTCGCTGTATGAAAATATTACCTAAAAGAAAAAAATGTAAAAATATTAAACTCTAGTCAGCTATACGCCTACTGAAGAATTTTGGGAGAAGTGTGCTGATGTCTGCAAACTATATTGAAATGTATCAAAAACTAAGATGGATTGATGAGTTGATAGAGGGATGAACTGATACGAGGGATGAGTTGACAGTAAAATGCTCATGGTAGTATCTAGGTGATGGTAACCCGGACTGTTCATTGTAAAATTCAGCTTTTTCACATATTTGAAGAGGACATTTCAAATGTATAGAGCAAGTTCATTGATAATTTTCTTTCTACTATTTCTGTATTTTTCTCAAGTTGTTCTTCTAATAGAAAGTTCCCATTGAGATATTGATTTCCTTTTTTTCCCAGTAGTAGTAATCATCATGTGTGTGTGCTTTCTCTAGAATTGCAAATGAGAAGATCAAGCCGACCAGACACTGATGCCGTGCTAGTTTTTGTGCTGACCGTAGGAGTATTTATCTGTGTATTGGTGATTTTTATTTTGATCTTCATAATAATAAATTGGTAGGTGAATGGTGGACTGCATCGCCACCTTTGACTGACGTCCTCTTCTTCCCCTCCCTCACCCAGTGACTTGCAAAACTCTGCCCATGATGCCTCCTACGTGTGTCTTAAAATTGTCCAACTCCCTTCATTACTCTGGCGACTCCCTTGTCCAGGCCATCACCTCTTTTTACGTGGATGCTTTTTTAAAAAACTCATGATTTGCTTCTCTGGCCATAAGAGAGCTTTTAAATGCAATTTTTACATGGTAATTGCTTTAAAAAAAGTGTACTTAATGAGTATTTGTGTTGTCTGGTTGTAGCTCTCTCAACTCTAAAATGAACACTAATTCATTTATTTGAGAATATTTATGATAGCTACATGGGTATTACACTCTGGTGTGTCTGAGGGTTTATGTACTGTTGAAATAAACTGATGCACCACAATCTGAAAACGAATCATAAATAAAAAGGCATTTATATATAGAAAATGTAGGTATAAATCTGCAGTATTTAGTTTTCACTTCATATGGTGTTTTTAACTTTGCTTTGTTTTTTAATTCCAGGGCAACAGTCAAATCCTTCTGGGGGGCAAAATGCTCAACAACTGAGATACATTCAGAGTTGAGTTCCATGAAATATAAAGATTCAACATCTCTTGACCCGTCACCAACAGAAATACCTGGACATGAAGATGATGCTTTAAGTGAATGGAATGAATGATGCATGGATGATATATGACAAACAAAAGGATATTAGAGCATATCAGATTCATTATTATAAAAATAAAATATATACTTAAATACTTTTAAAATGTTGCAATGGATTTACCACAGTTTGAGGGTGATGCAATATGAGGATAGGCCTATTTTTTTTTTTTTTTAGAAAGAATTTATTGAGAAGACAGAAAAGCTCCCACAGCAGGAGGGAACTAGAAGAGGTTGCCTGAGGACAGGCCTATTTTAATAAGTGCATCTTTGTGGTACAGTTATCAAATATAGCTTTTAATTTGTTCTCAACATTGATCATTTCAGGTAACAACTAGGGGACATTTATCTAGAGGCACCCACAACAATTCTTCTAAACACATTTTTGATCACTTTGGTAACTTTTTAGATGGTTGGCCTGTTTTGTCCCAAATAAGAAAAGTGTGACATAAAGATGCCTTGCATATTAGACTTTCTCCCCCCTGAGAGCACTGGATTGAATTTGCTAAAGCAAGTCACACTTGAATCTCTGCAGGGCATGTGATGTACAAAGTTTGTAAGCAATGAAATAATGATAATGATGGAAAGCCAACACTTAACAAGTGACTGCTGTGTGCCAAGCAGCACTCAAAGCATTTTTCATGAATTAGGTAATTTGATTATGATTGTATTTAGGAAATATTTAAGAATTGGGAGAGAAATTTGGAGGTGGCTGAGGCAATGGCATGATTTTAACATATCCTATATTTCTAGCAGAAGCAATGAATTAAAGACTTTTGAATGACCACTGATAAGTACCTTCATTATTCTTGGTATGCAGGTGATAACATCTCAGAACCAAAGTACTTATTTTGGAACATCATTACTGCTTTTTTCTGCTGTGTCATTATGTATTACAGTTATGGCCAGCCAGCAATCAAGGTGTCAAGACATTAATTTCATTCAGTAGACTTCATCAGAAATTAATTTTCAGAGGTGATGATAGTTACATTTAGTTTTTTTTTCTGTTTAGTTGAAGTCTATTGCCAATTTTACTGCTATTATTATGGGATTTATTTGGTAACTTTTTTTTTACTCTTTATGCGCAAAGTTTATTGGAGAAAAGTCATTTTTCTTTTTTTGTAATATACATTTTTTAAATTATAAAGATGGATACAATTCAGGGATAGGTATACAAATGTTGATTATGCAGGTACCCTTGTTGTTGATGAGTGCCCCCCCCTCCCGGCAGTTTCCCTCAGCTGCCAATCCCGCCACCCCTCCCCTGACAGTTTCCCACTACTGCCAATTCCTTTCTTATAGTATTATGATAACTGTTCAAGGTCCACTTATGAGTGAGAACATATGGTACTCTGGTCTTTGTTTCTGTGATAGATCACTGAGTATAATCGACTCTAAATCCATCCAAGTTGCTGCAAAGTCCATAAGTTTGTCCTCCTTTATGGCTGCGTAATATTCCATTGTGTATATATACCACATTAAAAAAAAAATCCAGTTCAGTTTCGATGGGCAACATGGTTGGTTCCATGTTTTTGCTATTGTGAATAGAGCTACAACAAACATACATGTGCAGGTATCATTTTTGTAGAATGATTTGAGTTTCTCCAGGTATATTCCCAATAGGGGCATTGTTGGGTCATATGGAAGGCCAATTTCTAGTTCTTTCAGAAATCACCACACTGTCTTCCAAAGAGGTTACACTGGTTTGCATTTCCACCAGCAGTGTAGAAGCGATCCTTTTCCTCTGCATCCTCGCCAGCATCTGTTGTTTGTTTTATTAATGATGGTCATTCTTACTGGGGTTAGGTGGCATCTCAATGTGGTTTTGATTTGCATTTACTGATGATGAGTGAAACAGCACTTTTTCATGTGTTTGTTGGCTGCCCCTATATCTTCTTTTGTGAAGTGTCTATTCATGGCTTTTGTCTACTTTTGAATGGAGATGTTTGGTTTTTTTTTCCATTGGTGTGTTTAAGTTCCGTGTAGATCCTAGATGTGAGGCCTTTGTCAGATGTACTGTTGGCAAATATTTTTCCCAGTCTGTGGGCTGTCTCCCTGCTCTCTTGATGGTTTCTTTTGCTTTGCAGAAGTTCCTTAATTTGATGTATTTGGTAACACTTTTTTTTTTTTGAGTTGGAGTCTCACTCTGTTGCCCAGACTGGAGTGCAGTGGCTGCTCCCGGCCACTGCAGCCTCAACCTGCTGGGCTCTGGCGATCCTTCCACCTCAGCCTTCTGAATAGCCAGAATTACAGGCATGCGCTAGCACGCCCGGCTGATTTTTGATTTATTGTAGAGATGAGGTCTCGCCAAGTTGCCCAGGCGGGTCTCAAACCCGTGGGCTCAGGCAATCCACTCACCTCAGCCTCCCAAAGCGCAAAGCGCGGGATTACAGGCTGAGCCACCGAGCCCGGCTTGGTAACACTTTTAACTCTTTGCACACCTATGCAGAAGACATTATAAATGGACATTTATGGTATACGTCCCTCTAGTAGCCTAGAAATAGGCTTTGTTATGGAATTATTCATATTTTATGTTACATAGCATTTGTATATGAGAGAAGCAATGAGGAATTGACTGGAAAATAATTTTATGATCTATTGTGGGAAATCCACTGAGGATTTTAAGTGAAAAGAAATTGTTTTCATAAAATCTTACCACATCATTATTTTTTGTGACACTCTCCACCATAAGTTATTTTAAAAATTAGCCTTCCAATTCCTCTACATGTAACTTTAATGTAGGTGTTGAACATTCTTAGGTAGTAATGATCACAGTCCTGTTTTTTAAAAATTATTTTACATTTTTTATTGAGGTAACACATACATATAAAATTTACCACCGCTACCATTTTTAAGTGTGCAGTTCAGTGGTAAGAAGTACATTTACATCATTTCCCCCTTCATAGCCCCTTCCTGGCCTCTAATAATCACCATTTTATTCTTTATCTTCATGAGACCTACATTTTTAGCTTCTGAATATGAATGAGAATGTGTGATATTTGTCTTTTTGTGCTTGGTTCATTTCATGTCACATAATGGCCTCCAGTTCCAACCATGTTGCTGCAAATGACAGGATTTTATTCTTGTTTATGGCTGTATAATATTTAATGTGTGTGTATACCACATTTTCTTTATCCATTTATTCATTGATAGGCATTTAGGTTGATTTCATATTTTGGTTATTGTGAATAGTGCCGAAATAAACATGGGAGTGCACACATCTCTTTGGTATATTTATTTTCTTTCTTTTGACTATATACCCAGTAGTGGTATTACTGGATCATACGGTAGTTCTACTTTTAGTTGTTTGAGGGACCTTCATACTGTTCTCCCTGGTGACTATTCTAATTTATAGTCCTACAAACAATGAATAAGGGTTTCCTTTTCTCTGCATCTTTACCAGCATTTTTCTTTCTTTTTGATAAAAGCCATTTATGACATATAATTATAGTTTTGATTTACATATCTCTGATGATTAGTGATGCTGAAAAATTTTCATATGCTTATTGGCCTTTTGTATATCTCTTTTTGAGACATGTCTGTTCAGATATTTTGTTCATTTTTAATCTGGTTATTTTTAGTTTGAGCTTCTTATATATTCTGGTTATTGGTCCCTTGTCAGAGGGATAGTTTGCAAATATTTTTTTGTCATTCTGGATGTCTCTTCACTTTGTTTCCTTTGCTGTGCAGAAACTTTTTAGCTTGATGCCATCCCATTTGTCTATTTTTGCTTTGGTTGTGCCTGTGAGGTCTTACACACACAAAAAATCTTTGCCAAGACTAATATCCTAGAGCATTTTCCCAATGTTTTCCTCTAATAGTTTCATAGTTTCAGGTCTTAGATTTAAGCCTTTAACCCATTTTGAACTGATTTTTAAGTATGGTGAGAGGTGTCTAATTTGATTCTTCTGCATATAATTATCCAGTCTTCTTGTACATTTTGTTGAAAAGACTGTTCTTCCCCATTTTATGGTCCAGTACCATTGTTGAAGATGAACTGTTTATAAGTATGTGGATATAGATCTGGATTCTCCATTCTGTTTGACTGATTTGTGTGTCCATTTTTATGCCAGTACCATGCTGTTTTGTTTACTATCACTATTTTGAAGTCAGGTAGTATGATGCCTCCAGCTTTTTTCTTTTTGCTCAGAATTGCTTTGGCTATTTGGGGTCCTTTGTGGGTCCGTACAAATTTTTGGATTTTTTTTTTTTAATATTTCTGTGAGGAATAGCATTGTTATTTTGATAGGGATTGCTTTGAATCTAAATTTTAACAATATTAATTATTCTAATCCACGAACATGGAATATCTTTCCATTTTTTTCTGTCTTCTTCAGTTTCTTTCATCATCAGGAAAACTTTATAGTTTTATTTGTATAGATTTTTTATGTCTTTGTTTTGATTTATTTCTAGTTATTTTATATTTTTGTGACTATTGCAAACTGATTGCTTCTTAAATTTTTTTTAAGATTGTTCATTATTGGTGTCCAGAAATGCTACTGATTTTTGTATGTTAAGTTTGTATATAAATGCTATGGATTTTTGTATGTTGATTTTGCATCCTGCAAATTTGCTGGATTTGTTTCTCAATTCTAACAGTTTTTTGGTAGAATCTTTAGGCTTTTCTAGTATAAGATTATGTCATCTGCAAATAAGGCTGAATTGACTTCTTACCTTCAAATTTGGATGTCTTTTATTTCTTTCTTTTGTCTAATTGCTCTAGCCAGGACTTTTATTATTATGTTGAATAAAAGTGGTAAAAGTGGCATCCTATTCTTTTCCAAGCTTTAGAGGAAAACATCTTCAATTTTTGCTTGTTTGATACAATGTTAGTTGTGGATTTGCCATATATGGCCTTTATTATTTTGAGATATGTTCCTTCTATATCCATTTTGATGAGGGTTTGTATTATAAAGTTTGAATTTTCTCAAATGCTCTTGGCATCTTTTGAAATAACCATGTGGTTTTTGTTCTTGATTCTGTTAATGTGATGTGTTACACTTACTGGTTTGTGTATGTTGAACCATCTTTGCATCTTTGGGATGAATTCCACTTGAACATGGAGAATATCTTTTTAAGGTGTTGAATTTGGTTTGCTAGTATTTTC